TGGCTGTAATATTGCTAAAAGCTGCGTAAAACTAAACTCACTCACTCACTCACTCACTCACTCACGGATACTCCACAGAGAGGGGCTAATATATGATGCTACACGTCTCCTCCTGTTCCGACTCCCTGGCAATGTGAATATTTATTGTTGCTTGTTGAAGATGATATACATTGCTTGTCACACATATAAGTTATTTCCAGTTTTCTTCCAGCGCACAAGTTTTTCCAAACACGGCAAATTGCGACATTGGTATGTTTTATCAATCATCTTATTGTCATTTGTACAACTCGATGAAAAAATAACTGAATTTGGAATCAGACTGCAGGTGGCAACTGTGATACATTTGTGTTCTACATGGAGTCAAATATTTGTATTATACAGCTGATACTTATCTGAATGAGAGCTCTATGACGTCCCCGTCTCTCCAATCAACGTTATTCTTGCAATATTTCATGTTTGATAGTCCACGTTCTGTTGGTTTGTATATTTCAGTCGAAAATGAGCTGTATAGACGGTCACGTGATATCTCCCCTATCAACGAAGCTGAAAATCAGGAGGATGACATCATTATGTCAGGTGACACTGCCTTATAACATGTCTCTTATAAATGTTACAATGAAGACTTGAAAGGTCGATCTGATCCCATTCTATAATTTTGTCTTAACTATATACCGACAAAAACAAAGGAAATGATGAAATGAGAGTGAATGTGTAATTGCTCTTAATGTCCACAAGATCAATTTCTCGGGTACAGATCAATATCTGGTGTATCCACCATATTGGGCGACACATACACGACACCTTGATGGCATACTGTTGATTAACCTCCGGATATTTTCCCCGAGGTATTGCCCGCCTTTCCGCCTGAATAATAGCTACCACAAGGTTGGCCAGACTGACGGGTGCGGGGTCCCTGGCGTACACCCCCGGCTAGAACGTCCCACAGATGCTCAATTGGGGACATGTCCGGGAACTTAGAGGGCCAGTCCATCGTATGTATACCCTCTCATCGGAGATAAGGGGTGACGTCTGGCATTATCATCTTGAATTCCAAATTCTGCCGACAATTCCTAGCCAGTGGAGCCATGACAGGGACAGAAAATTTCTGTCAATATATCGCCGACCAGTCAAGTCTCCATTAACGATGACCAGATCCGATCGCCTGTCATGTAATAACTCCCCATACCATGGCACTACCGCCCCCATACTGATCATGGTCAATAATAGCCGCGCTCACCAACAACGTTTTCGCCATCTGTGAATCGGAGGCAAAACCTTGACTCATCCCAGAACATGGTGTAACGCCAATGGCGCAAGGCTGATACTGCCCTGCCCACACCAGTCTTTGGTGCCTATGGTGAGCTGTGAGGGTGACACCCTTCACAGGCCGCCTTGCTTTCAGACGGGTTTGATAGAGTCGGTTCTTAACGGTTAATATTGCAATTCGTCGTCCAGTTATTGTACGGAATTCCCTATTGATAGCAGGTGCTGATTCGAACCTATTGCGTATGGCCATTAATGTAATGAGACGATCTTGTCTAGGTGCCGTTGATTTTGGTCTGCCACGCCCAGGTCACATTGCAGGCTCACCCGTTTGAGGGTACGTGTCCCACAGGCTTCAAATTACACTTTTTGATTTACCAAACATACGGACAAGTGGCACAGTGGTTTTCCCCCTTCTATCACACCCACAATTCTGCAATTTGTCTGTTCGTTGAGTTACTACCTCGGAGGCATTTTTCAGCGTGTATTCACCTCTTTGTATTAGTGATTCAAATTCCTAGTTTTGTCGGTAGTGTATCATAATATTTGTTAAAACTTACATAAGTGGATGTGTTTCTTGAGTACTGGTATTTGCCATGAGTTTATTTTAACATTATAATGTTTCTCCAGATGCATACGCGAGTGTGGATATGCTAGCTACGAGCACGTGCCCACCACGTGAGCAGGGTGCGTCATGTGACGTCGACGTAGACAACCTGTATGCTAAACCTGATAAAAGCAGGTCTTCAAATGTTCAACAAGGTGAGGCTGATCTATTGTTTAGTTTATTATCCATGATGCAGTCATTAATAAAGGCAAATGCGTGGCACGACCTGTTCAGATCAGAAATGGTCATCGTTGACCTGTGTTTGTTGTCAGAGACGACTAAAGGGACCCGACCATCACACCCGTGGACGTGGTTGATGCATCTTATGCGTGTCAATGTTTGACCGCTGCGTACCACCACTGGTCCAGAAACGATTTTTACACACTACTGTCTACTGAAACATAACTGAGTGCGGGGAGACAACCAAACCAACAAACAAACCAACATATGGGAGGCACATTGAAAACTCATTGTGTGAACATCAGTTTCAGATATATACGCTGTAGTAAATAAACCCTGAAGAAGAAGAGGCAAGATGATCCAAAGGTGTCTGAAGATGTCAACACTGGGGACGTGTATGCAAAACCCAACAAGGCTTGAAGGGCATAGGTGTGTGAAATATATATAAAACTACATTTTTTCTAAAAACATCGTATCATTCCGACTCATTCATAAACTTGTGGTTTTGAATGGCTGCCAAAGAGTGATGATAGCAGATATTAGAGAAAAGGTGAGGTAAAACCTGACCTAATTTCATCCTTGAAATGTTGAATACTTGACTCGGGTGCATGTTTGTGCATACCGGGCATAGGACTTCCGCTTGAAATGTGATGCTGGTCACGTGACAGTGTTTGTACATTAGCTTGAAAATGTTGGCCGTGTATTTTCGGTGACATACCGCACATGGACGTAAACGGCTCGATTGACGTGAGATTGTGTGGAGTGATTGAGTTAAAATTTAAAGTCACTTTGGCAATATTTCAGCCATATCGTGACTAAAACAGTAAATTCTTATAAAAATATAAAATATGTCGCCAAAGGTTAAAAACTACCACGTAACTTAAAATTATACATTACTTAGGACACTATACCATACAAATGGGCTATAGATCGCAAGGAACTAAAGGTAGATCACCATACTATCAGCTTGTGTCATGTTTGTAAAGTATCCTCGTAAATAGGTTGGTATTTACAAACAGTGTATGAAACGTACATAAACACGTATATATATTCCATGCAGATCTTTTTCTCTATAGTAAGTTATAACTTCACAAGATGGTGCGATTCAGAATAATATAACGCTTGGCTTGCCGTGGTCTCTAAATGACATGACAACATAACGCTCACTTTATTGACAGTTATAACATGTGTTATAGACAGATCTGAATAATGTTGCTAGGTTTCAATTTATATAGCGACTTTGCATTTTAATATTGTATTACTGATTCACTTATGAACATGCATAGACGTGGTCTTGTCGCTATATGGCTGCACAAATGCTGATGCAACACTAAATTTTAACTCACTGACTCATTTATGTTTCCACGTTTTCCTGTAAGAACTTTGTAAACATAACTGCTTTCCTTGTGTGGATCTGCATACAATAAAGGCTGATTTCCTTCTTAATGTTTTATTGATGATCTGCCACTGTGTCTAACTCGATACAACATAGTTTACTTGAAAATGAGTATATTACTCACCACTCACCACTTGTATGTTGTGTCACTGGCGAGATATCCAGTGGGTGCTGCAGTTGTAGTGCTATGCTGTGGTGCACGTTCAATACTTTAATGGAGCCCACAAGCATTGGTGTGGTAAAAATGAAAGGTTTCTAATCTTCTAAGGGATGTAACTCTGCACAGCATATTGCAACACAGGAAAGCGGGCCACCAACAAATATACTTGTGTAGCAATACTACAGTTGAATACATCTGGATACAAACCTAGGATTTGTAGTTGTAACCCTTTGTAACATGAGAGTTCATACTTTAATGACACATAATGGGAGAAAGTTTGGATTTCACGTGGACACCCTATGTAGCCTAGATGAACACAGGCACGTTTATTGGGAAGACAAAATGAAATATGACTCGAGCATGGCCTCGTCAAATAACACCTGGTTCAAGGTATTTATCATAGGTGAATAAAGATATCATGAACTTGAGGATAAACGATGAGTGAGAGAGTAAGTGAGTTAAAATCACTTTGGCAATATTTCAACCGTATCGTGACTAAAACAGTAAGTACTTCATAATTAAATTTGATAAATTCTGTTGCCAAAGGACATTAGAACAACTAGTATATCACAGTTATAGACTTAAAACTAGCATATAACTTAAAAATATATAGTATTTAGGACATAACAACATAAAAACGGGGCTATAGATCGCCAGCAACTGAAAATAGGGACCAAAGTGACCAAGGGGACTCACAATACCTTTGCTACCTGCAAAGTTATTTATTCATTCTCACAAATTACAATTCATATGCTAATAACAATACATATCAACATTTATCAATTAATTCAGTTATTTTGAAACCTCAATGATTAAACAAACAGATACATTCTTAAAAAGAACCCTCGTTTCAATGTATATAGCGACTTTGCTTTTGAATATTGTATTTCTGATTCACTTGTGAACATGCATAGACGTGGTCTTGTCGCTATATGGCTGCCAAAATGCTGATGCAAAACTAAATTTTAACTCACTAACTCATTTATGTTTCCACGTTTTCCGGTAAGAGCTTTGAAACCATAACTACTTTCCATGTGGATCTGCATACAATAAAGGCTGGTTTCCTTCTTAATGTTTTATTTATGATCTGCCACTATGATCTGCCACTGTTAGTGGCTGTATCCTCAAAGGGGGTTAAAGTATCGTAAAATTATTGTCCCAATGAGGGTACGTAAGTCCTTAACCCTCAATGTCAATTTAAATGGTAGTATATTTGTTATTTTTAATAATGGCTAAAGCTCAGCACACTCGCCAGCAGCTGACGGGATGGTGTAAATCCAGCTAGAGTCCATGCAGGTAGCAAAAGTACTGTAAGTCCCCATGGACATTAGTATGGTGATCTACCTTCAGTTGTTGGTGATCTATTGCCCGTTTTTATTTTGTACTGTCTCTACTGATTTCATTTTTTGATATCGTACTAGTTTTAAATTTATATCTGTGATGCTCTAGTATTTTACTGTCTTTCGATGACTGGTTTTTATGTTCTAAATCTATTGATTTTAATATTGACATAAATTAACTTGTTCTCGTCACGATATGGCTGCAATATTGCCGATGTGACGTTAAATATTACCGGACCACAACTCTTTTTGACAGCAGCAGTGACGTAAGCTGCTTTTATGACCTACAGGTTGACAGCCTTGTGATAAGGCGTCACAAATCTTCTACAAAGAAGTGGGATATACAACATTCGGATATATAACGGCAAATTTCAAAACCTGGTGTTGCGTTAATTTTCTCCAGATCTGTCAAGATCAGTTTATGGTAACTATTGACAAATGGTTCTGATATGGTCGCTTGAATATGATAGCGAATAAGTCAAACTTGCGCATCGGATTTTGTGGTGTTGTAAAAACTAAAGACAATCACATTCTCTGCAACATTATCCTCCCGTGGAACACATATATTTACATATTATGTATAAGTGAAACACTAGCGTTTAGAAACACAATTTGCGAGCTATATCATCAGTTTATATGCGCACACACATGCATACTAGGATCCTGTAAAGAGCATATAGCAACTTCCACAGATCACACAGACTTTACATACAAGCACCAAATGTCCACGAATCGGAGCCTGATAAAATGAATCAGTTGCTAGAGAGCTGGGTTCTCGAGCAGAACACTTATCTCCAAAAATCAGATAATATCCCTGTTTTTCGTCTAATAGAGGGTGTTATAGGTGCAATAAAGCAATCTGATAAACTTGGAATCATAATCTGATAACTATGCAAATTACGTCAATCCATCTTTCTCAAAACTCCATACATGCCATGCGAATCCTAAAACGTTAACATTTCATCGATGACGTCGTCGCGAGTTTACGTTGCGTCGACGAGTTTGGAAACAAAGATGGTAGCCCCATTATCAAAATTGGTGATTCTGTAGAATTGATGACAGAGGTTCTGGAGTCGTTACTGCAGCAATTGACTTTGGAAAACATAAAACGGAGAACTTCGTTCAACTTGAAGGTACGGATTATGAGGCACGAGTGACAGGCTATCGTCTACGAAAGGTACCAACAAAGGATTCAGGTATCAGAAACTGATATTGATGAGGTGATTACCCTCAGTGAAAATAGAAACTCTACCAAGAAAACACTGCCTGATTTTGTTATTCTATTTCGACAGAAAGATCTTATTTTATGCATGAGTTGTTTTCCCTGTATTAGCGACAAGTCACAACCATATGCAGCTATCATGAACGACCTTCACCTTGGTGTACCGCTAAGTATTCTTACGCGAATGCTCGATTCTCTTCAAATATAAATACGTACGATTTGCTTCTTTTGAGAGTAATTTTAAGAATGACATTATATGATAATGAGATTATTAAAGGTCACATGCAACCAAAAAATCAAACCAAATTAAAACACAATTATCACTTATTCATGACATATAATATACATTGCTGGTTACGAAAGAATATATAAACAAAATTATAAGAGTACAAGTGCAAAATTGTGTACTTCGGTTTACTTCCCAAGAAACGAAGCAATCGGGATACCGAACCCAGTCAGAGCGGGTGGGTGTGCACTCAAGTGTAAGGGCTGGTTCATTTGCAGATGCTCTCACGGCTAATTGTGTGTATATATAGAGAGAGAGATGTTGGGTTTGTAAATACATGCTCATTTTTGTGTATAACATTTTGCAATCAACAGACATCATAACATGTCATGTGTTCAAGTATCACACCTGCCTGTCTGTGTAATTACATAAGGTGACAGAGACCGAACTCGGGCCATAAATCAATGCGTTTTGTTTATGGTGTATAGCCTGATTGGTGTTAAGTTCAAATTGCATGTGGTCAGTGATAGCAGCTGTGTATTGAATATTGTCATTAGCAGACAGGCAGGCAGACACACAGGTGTCAATAGAACAAGACATTGAGTTTTGTCTGTGACAACGACATATCTATATCACAGTTAGAAATTCTGTCAACGCTAAATAATGACATTGCTTTTAAGTATCGAACTGAGAAAGTGTCTCGGTAAGAAGAACGTGTGGTGAAATAGACAAATGAAATTATATAAACAGTTAATTTACTGTCATAACATATAAAAAGCTCGCGCCTGTGAGATATCAACAAAACATTAGAAAAATAGCTCATACCAAAGCCTTCATCGAGTATTCACCGAACAACCCGGCTTCCAAGCTGCGCGAACCTATTTACTTGCGCACGTGCTATGAGCGCAGCCCAGCTGTTGAAACCCGTTTTCCCCAGAAAATTAGTGAAACGTTTGAACTCCGATTTCGCGCGGTTTTTTTCATCGCGTTATTTTTCAACTTCATAAGTTGAATTTGCATTTTTGACGATTTGTTTCGGTAAGTCCATACCGAAAGGTATCAGAATCTGCAAAGTTGTGTTTTACGTTGCATGTGACCTTTAACCTTGTATATTTCGGTATATTAGTATCATATATTAAAATAAAATTATGTATTATGCTCGCCAAAGGCTTGCATAATACAATTTTTATTCTTAATATATGATATTGATGATACGGAAACACACTCGGTTAATAATCTCTATAAACGTTCCT